TGTGCGGTACTCCTTGCCCACTCGCTCACGGGTGCCCTTCACATGCCAGGCCTTGACATCTTTATAGACATTTGGGTAAACATAACGCCTGACAGGCCCTGAGGAGCTTGGAGTTCGGGGCGTGGTGTGGGAGGAGGAGCGGAGGGTGTGGGCGTGGTGAGTGAGCAGCTGTCACTGCCATGTAGTTGATGAGTCAGGAAGATGGGAAGATGTCCTCCTCCGGCCCCTTCCCCACCCCCAACCCCCGCCCCGAGGCCCAAGTTGGAGGTTATGTAAGCATGTTGTGTGGCCTGCTAGGTGATACACAATCCTTCCCCTCAGAGCTTCCAGTATGGTCCGTTCCTTAGGCTGGAGTGCTGTTTGCATAATTTGTTCAAGGTCAGCCAGGGAAGGCTTGGGCTGGTAGGCTGGCAGGCAGTGGAGGGGTTAGCGGGGAGTCCTGTCATTTGTGACTTGCTGGGCCCCTTCAGAGCCATCCCTGATCATAGCTGATCTGCTTCACCTCACTCCTACCCATCCATTTCTCTGTGTTCTTCCCTCTCCCTAACATCTGACTGTGTGCAGGGCCTGCTGCCTGCCTGGGTCAGGCTTCTGCAGAGGGTGATGTGTGGAGGCCGCTCTGCATCCACATCCGTAGTGCTTGGTGACCAATGTTCTGGTGCAAGGAAGGCCCAGGAGGGGCTCCTGTCAGGCTTCTACCTCCAGGCAGGGTTGAGTGAGTGAGGGGACGTGTCCGTCTCAACTCACTCCCGGCCTGAGGAGACTGAGCCTCGGTCCTGCCGGGGGAGGTCTGAGAACGTTGTGGGAATGGGTGTCTTCTGGGTGATGTTTATTTTCATCAGAAGACTGAGCGCCCTGGTCTGCCTCAGGCTGCCCTTAATCCTGCTGGATAAATGTATCACAGGAAGTGGGTCCCGGAAGGGCAGAAGGGGAAGCCACTGGAATGGAGCAATGGGGGAGTTTGGTGAGTGATGAGAGCTGAGCCAGATGGGGGTGTTGCCTCGGGCCCAAGAAAGAATTTAACTGGGCCTGCCCGGAAAGGTGGAGAATACACCTTCCTGCCTGGGTGTGGACAGGCCTGTTACCTGAGGGCCCAGACCGGGGACGTTATATTCCCCTCTCTGTTTATGGGACTTAAGAAAGGGTGTAGCTTGCACGTGGCAGAGCTAGTATCCACGGTGGCTGATGCAAAGTGCTGGCGGTTACGGCTGATTTTGTGCGCTGCAAGTTCTGTTACATGCAGCAGGGGCCAAATAAAGGCAGCAGAGTGGAATGGTAAATAAACCAGGGGAGCCTCACAGGGCCTGGCCCCTGCCCTGAGCCCTGGCATCCGACTCATGTCCCAGATAATAATCTCCTTAGTGCTGAGCGTTAGCTGCTGTTTGCTGTGGGTGGTGGTTTTGTTTTTTCCTCTTTTCCCCCCTTTTTTGACAGGTGGCTTTCCGTATTAGGTTTGGGGGTTAGTGTTGGCACACGGCATTTGGGGAACATTGGATAACGGATGCTGTGTCTTTTCCTCAAGGTGGGGTCTGGTCCTAGATGCAAAGGTGACTCCTGCAGGGTGGGTCCTGGGGGCTGTCTTTCCTCTGAGGTCAGGGAAGTGTAGCAGGACAAGACCTGGCTTCTGACAGGCCGGAGACGCAGCTTGGTTGGTAGAACGCCTGCCTGCACAGGTACAGCATTGAGCGAATACAAAACCGCACGCATACAACACCGACCACATCTGGGATGCTCGTGCTCCCAGCACTCTCAGATGGAGGCAGGCAGAGCCTCCACAGTGAGTCTCCACAGTGAGTTTGAGGCTAGCTTGTGCTATATAAGACCTCAAAAGGAAAAAAAAAAGGTGTGTGTGTGTGTGTGTGTGTGTGTGTGTGTGTGTGTACTATCGTGGCAGCTCAGGGGTTAGGAGCACTGACGTTTTAAGGTTGGACCTGAATTTGGTTCCCAACGCCCACGTTGGGTGGCTCACGAACCAGCTGTAACTCCAGTTCCAAGGGATCTGGTGCCCTCGTCTGGTCTCTGCAGGCACCTGCCCACACGTGGCAGAGATGCACACACAAAAATAGAGTGAAATCTTAAATATTGGTGGTGTTCAGGGGCCTTTAGCGACCTTGGATGCTGCAGGCGAGCGGCTCCTCCTCTGCTCCTCCTGGGGAGGGCCAGCTCTGTCTGCAGGTGGTGCTTTCTGTTTGCTTTGTTTTGTTAATTTCCTCTCGGTTTATTTTATTCTCTCTGTGTAAGAGTTTTGTCTGCCTGTGTGTACATGCGCACCATGCTCCCTGGATCCCCCAGAGCTAGAGTTAGGGACAGTTGTGAGCCACCATGTGGGCGCTGGGAATTGTACCCCAGACCTCCGTAAGAGCAGCAAGTGATCTTGACCAGCGAGTCATCTCTCTTTGTTTTTGTATGTCCACGAATGGCTCTTAATCCAGGCAGAGATGGAGAATGTTCTGGGCTCTCCGCCAAGATGTTCTGCAGGTCTGTTACGCTGGGCTGTCTTTCAGCCCAGGGTTACATGGTGTGGACTTTTCTTAGGAAGTGCCAGGCCCATCTGGCCTGAGGTGTGTGCCATTTTTCCAGGCCTGAGTGTGAAGCCTCCTGCCTGCCCCCTGGGGTCCATGCCTCTGCAGGGTTAGTTGGGAAGGAAGGGGCCAGTGGGAACAGGAGAGCCTCCAGTATTGGAAGAGTGGACAAGAGCAGTGTCAGGTAAATAAACCCCTGCCCTCTTCCCTGTGTCCTGACCCTAATGTGGGCCAGTCTGCCCGTGGATCCGGCCTGTTGGTGTACAGGAAGTGAGAGCGGCAACAACAGAAGTAGAACAGAGTGGCAGAGGCTCTGAGAATGTGAACTGTGGCCAGACGCGGGTCCAGCTAACACTGGAAGTCCATGGTTTTTGGGTTGCAGGCTCTCTTTAATTATGTCTTTATTGATAGATTGACTTATTATGCAGAGGTCACTAGATAACTTGGGGGTTGGTTTTCCCCTTCCACCATATAGGTTCCAGGGATCTACCTCAGATTGCCAGGTCGGGCAGCAGGCGCCTTTACCTGCTAAATTATCTGGAAGGTCCTGCTGTGGGCCCTTTGCCGGTTTCTTTGATTCAGACTTTGGTCGCTTGATATGGAATCACGTGAAGCCTTTCCCAGTGGGCTCCCACTAGTCAGGAATCCACGACGGTATGCTCATGTTTGTGAATGGGCACATGTGTGTGTATACAGATTCAGTCTGATAATTTAGGTGTACAGTATTTTGTTTATTTATTTGATTGTTCTCCTTTCTCCTCCTCCTGAAGGGTTTCTCTGTGTATCCCTGGCTGTCCTGGACTCACTTTGTGGACCAGGCTGGCCTCAAACTCACAGAGATCTGCCAGCCCCTGCCTCCGGAGAGCTGGGAATGAAGGTGTGGGCCACCCCCACCCCCTAGCAGGTGTAGAGCATTTTAAAACGAAGGCAACCAGACAAGGCTCTAGCTCAGTTGGCAGAGCACCTGCCAGTGTACTTGAACCCCCAAATTTGACCCCAGCAATGCACAGACTAGGTGTGGTGGTGATGTCTGTAATCCCAGCAGTTGGGGAGTGGAGGATTAGAAGTTCAAGGTCATCCTTGGCTACATAGACAGTTCTAGACCAACCTGGATTACCTGAGATCCTGTCTCAGGGAGAGAGAGAGAGAGAGGCCATTCTTCTGGTTAGTGAATGTAATGATTCTGGGGCGGCTTCTTTTCATGTAGGACAGATGTCACAGTGTGAGCTCTCCCAGGGTAGGATTTTAATTTTTCTGTATGGCCTGTCAACATAAAACCTCCCAGGAATGTAACGCCACCCTTAGAGCAGGGACCATCAGGGTCACTCTCTTTCTGTGATGCTTAAAACATGTTTGTTGACGGACTTAATTATGTGTAACAACCAGCGACCTCTTCCGGGCTCCAAGGGTACCTGCACCCAGGAGTGTCTACTCACATACACACACAAATAAAGATGGTACTTGTGAGGCCCTGTAGGCAGGTGGCTACCCTTGTACTTAACTCCTCTCAGCTCCCCAGATAGTATTTTGATAGTTGCTTTTAAAAATAAAGGCCCATTGGGGTTAGAAGTGGCTCAACAGGAACTTGATGCTCTTACAGATATCCCAGCACTAGTCATTAACAGGGTGCACATACGGAAACATGCGGAAACATGTAAAACAAAAATAATGGGCTGGAGAGACGGCTCAGCGGAGAAAGTATCGCTGCTCTTCCTGAGGACCTGGGTTTGATTGCTAGCACCCATGTGTCAGCCTGAGGCTGTCTGTTACTCCAGTTCCAGGGGATCCTACGTGCTCACACAGCCATATATGCAAGCAAAAACACCACGCACGTAAAATAAAATAAACAAGCAAATCATCTTAAAAAAAAGTTGAAGAAGCCAGGTGGTGGTGGCATACGCCTTTAATTCTGGCGCTTGGGAAGCAGAGGCAGGTTTATCTCTGTGAGTTTGAGGCCAGCCTGGTCTACACAGCAAGTTCCAGGACAGCCAAGGCTACACAGAGAAGCCCCGTTTTGAAAATGCCTGTGTGTGTGTGTGTGTGCGCGTGTGTGTGTGCGCGCGCACACACACGCACACACACACACACACACACACACAAAGAAAAAGTAACAGTATTTAAAATTTAGTTGTTGGTTTTGGTGGTGTGTATGTGTGTGTTGAGATCAGAGGGCGATTTGCTGGGGGAAGCTCTATCGTGTGGTCCCTGGGACTGAACTCACGTACCCAGGCTTGGTAGCCAGTGGCTAAATAGCCGCTGAGCCGTCCTGCTGGCTCTGAATTCTCCTCTTTGGTAGGGTGTGGTCGGATTGATTTTCACATGAGGAGATACCTAACTAGCTTTTAATACCGTACAAGTGGTTTCCCAGACTGTGAAAGTTCTGTGAAAAGCTGGGCTCCTGGTGACGAAGGTACCTGCTCCGCTGACACTTGTTGAGGGAAGGAAATCAGAGCCACTCGAGAAGGGCATCGATCGCCACGGGAAACTGATTTCTCCGTGAACAGCTACTGGCCGAACATCGGCCTTATGTAAGGAGAGAGGTCTTCCTGGCAAGAGTTCTGCAATTCAGTAAGGTAGCTGGCTCCTGGGAGTGTGTCTTTGGCCGTTCATTCATTCATTCATTCATCAAACATTGACTGTGTGGCCCGGAGCTGCTAAAGCCAGGCGGATCACTAAACCTCTCTAGCTCTGCCCTCAAAGGAAGGGTGAGACAGCTCACCCTGCACCCACACCTGGCAGGAAGAGCTGCCCGGGACTTTCGGGGCTGGGTGCTCCTTTAGTGGTGGTTTAATTATATCACATAACTTTTATTGGTGGGAAGCTAATTTCCATAATTAGCGATGCCTTCATTTCATTCACTCTGGGGCTTCTTTTGTTGTGGCAGAGAAATGGCTGTGCCTCCCACGTACGCCGATCTTGGCAAGTCCGCCAGGGATGTCTTCACCAAGGGCTATGGTGAGTGCTGCAGCAGCTGGGGATCATGGAAGGCCCTTCGCCCGCTGACGGGGTTGGCATGTTTGGAGTCCTTGGGGATGGTCACTTCAGCTTCGAGCCACCCACTGGTGAGGCTCGGGCATTGCAAGACAAGGCCAATTAGTCTGATGGGCCCGACAGGCCTGGTGACTGTGCCCCCAGCCAGCCAGCTGCTGGGAACCTTCCCCTCAGGGCCTGCATGAGCCTGCACTCTCTGTCTGCCACACCGCTGTTGCACAGGCTTTTTTTAAGCATTTCCAGATGGCCAGGAGGAAGGCAGAGGTGTCCCAGCTTCAAGTTTTTACTGTTATTTTTCTAGTGCTGGGGATCAAACCTAGGGCCTTGAGCTCGCTAGCAGTCATTCTACCACTGAGATACCTCTGACTCTCCTGGCGTGGTTAGTTAACCTGTGTTTGGCTGTTTTTCTTTCCTTAGGCTTTGGCTTAATAAAACTCGATTTGAAAACGAAGTCCGAGAATGGATTGGTAAGTTGCCGCACTGCACAGGACATTAATTGTATTTGTTCCCGACTAGTAGGGGCTGCTGAGGCCTGGCTGGCAGAGCCCAGAGCAGTTGCCTTCTCGGATTGTGGCTGTTTCAGCCTGTCCCATCATCACGTATCTTGTGCGATAGGTGACCTGGGACTATGGTGGCTTTTAAGTCTCTTTACAAGTTATTCTGTGGTGTTTGAAATCAAACTCCTACGGGCCTAACGCATTGCAGGCAAGTGCTCTACCACTGGCCTAAACCTCTGACCTGATCCATCCTTTATGCTTTTTATTTTAAAATTGCTTTCTCTGTCTCTTTCTCTCTCTCTCCAGAGTCTTACTCTGTAGTATATCAGGCTGGCTTCCAATCACAGCCGCCATTCTGCTTAGCCCTCCATGTGCTTAGGTGGTAAGGCCTCAGCCATTACACCCAACTTTGACCTATGTTGTTTTCTTTTTTTGTTAGAGATTTATTTATTTTTGTGTGTGTATGTGTGTGCGCGCGTACCCACAGGAGTTTGTGTGTACCTACATGCATGTAGGAACCTGGGGAGGCCAAAGGAGAGCATCAGATCCCCCAGAACTGGAGTTTTACCGGCCATTGGGAAGTGCATTGTGGGTGCTGGGACTCGAACTCAGGTTCTTTACAAGAACAGTAAGGACTCATAACCATTGAGCCATGTCCTCAGTTCCATTGACCTATATTTTTATTTACTTGTTTGTTTGTTTTAGTTTTTTGAAACAGGATCTCTTTACATGGCCCTGGCTGCCCTAGAACTCATGTAGACCAGGCTGGCCCCAAACTCAAAAAATCCACCTGCCTCTGCCACCTGTGTGCTGGGATTATGGCTTTCGTTTGTTTGTTTATTTTTTTATTTTATTTTATTTTATTTTTTTTGAGACAGGGTTTCTCTATATAACTTTGGCTGTCCTGGAATTCACTTTGTAGACCAGGCTAGCCTCGCCTGCCAATGTTTTTAATGTTTCGTTATTATTTAGAAAATGTCCCTGTTCTTCTTAGATTGTGTCTAGAGCAGTTGTTGGAGGGAAGGGACGGGTGTTTAGAATTCTGCTCTGTCAGCAATGGTTCCCTCTTGGCTGAGGCTGGTGGCAGTGTGGAAGTGGGGTGGTTTCCTGTCTGTGCTTCAGGGCCCCAGGGGAGGAAGGAAGCTGTCTTCCAACAAAGAACTTTCCAGAAGATCCCTCCAGTCAGCGGGCTCTTTCAATCCTTCATGTTTTCAGTATCTACTTGAACTGAAGAAATAGTTCTGCCTGGACCCGTCAGGGACTCTTGCTTCAGGGCCTGGAGAGGTACCAAGGGCAGACTGGACTGTAGGCCAAGACTGACTCTCTCTCTCTCCTTTCAGGAATTTACCAGCTCAGGCTCGGCCAACACAGAGACCACCAAAGTGAACGGCAGCCTGGAAACCAAGTACAGGTGGACCGAGTACGGGCTGACGTTTACGGAGAAGTGGAACACGGACAACACCCTGGGCACGGAGATCACCGTGGAAGACCAGGTAAGGCCTGCGGGCCAGAAACCCTGGCTTCGCTCATCCCCATCGCGGCGTCCCCGGCCCTGCCCTCCGCCAAGCTGCGCTGGTCCTGCCCTCGGCTAAGCTGTACCTCTTCTTTCTCACGTGCAGCTCACTCGTGGACTGAAGCTGACCTTTGACTCATCCTTCTCGCCTAACACTGGGTAAGGCTCTCGTTCTTGTCCCGAGAGGACATTCTGGGATGAGGTGGGCCTTGGTAGTCCTTCGAGACAAAGGATTTTGGTGTTCAGACTGACATCATGTCAAAGGTAGCCTCTAAGCTGGGAGGCTGGGGTGGGGGTGTGGAAGGGATGGTGGGGTCAGGGCCAGCCAGGGCTGTGTAATGAGATTCCATGTCAAAGAACAAAAACCAGCCAGACAGAAAAAAACAGTAAGGCTGCCTTGGTCCTGGCTCTGTACCTTTGAGTTCTGTGGCGGTGTTCTGGCCAGGATGCATAGATCCATCTGTTAATAGGCTGCGCTGGAGCAAGCTTCCTTAATTTGGAAATGCATTTCTCCAACAAATGGTTTTGTGTGCTCCTGTGCTCATTTGGGGAATTGAGGGTGCTTGGGCTAGGATGCTATTTGTCCCAAAGAACTTCCCTTTTCCTTTAGACACAGGGTCCCCTGTAGCTCAGGCTGGCCTTGAACTTATTATGTAGGCAAGGATGACCTTGAATTGATTCTCCGGGATCTCGGGCATATGCTACCATATCCAGTTTTTGGGATGCTAAAGATCGAAGGCAGGGCTTAAGCATCCCATTGGTGAGGCACTCTATAGCTACACAGAGCTGTGTCTCCAGCCTGAGTAAGGATTGTCCTGAGGCCGCGGACCACTGTTCAGCTGCTAAGATCCCACAATGCCCTCGTGTGCCTTGCTGCAGAAAGGCTGATCTGTTTCACAAAGGCCACCAGTAAGGGAAGTGGCCAAGGCTGAAGGGCGGAGGTGGTCTGAAGAAGCAGGGTTGCCAGCCTATTCTGTAGGTGTGGAGGGCTCTTCTCCCAGTTTTCTGAGACAGAGATCTGGAGAGTTTGACCACAAGGTGGCTCCTGGGGCTGCCAGGTCCCCTGGCCACAAACAGTTCAGGCTTGTTGGTTGTTGACACATCAGAGGACAAAGAGAGCAAGTTGGTCTTCCTCTGGTCCTAAGCACCCTACAGGGCTAGAAGGAACTCTTTCCTTCTAGAACATTCTACACTGTTGTGATTTTTTTTTGTTCTGAGAATGGCGGGGCTCCTAAATCAGGGGAAGGCTGTTTTTGCTCACTGACGATCGAGTCCAAACTTTTACTAAATTTCAAGTCTTCAGTTTTTGGTTTGGCAGGTGTCTAGTTTGGCAATTCATGTAGAAAATTACCATCTCCGTCATCTCTTTTACGTCCACAGTTTTTGTCTTTTGTGTTTCTGTGCTTTTTTTTTTTTTCCTCTTCCATTTTTGATTGCCTGCCTATGCCTTCCCAGGGCAGGGACTAAAGGTGTGAGCTGCCGTGTAGGCGCTGGGAACTGAGTCTGGGCCCTTCGCAAGAGCAGCCAGTGCTTCCAGCTGCCGAGGCCTCTCTCTAGCCCCCTCCGTTTGACCTTTTACTTTGAAGTAGTTTTACAGTTTCTGTGTAGAAGATGGTGATAAAAGTAATGTCTAGAGTTCCCTTCTCTTTCTCCCCTGGTTCTCTCTGGTGGTGAAATTTTATACCTACCATCACATCATATAACACGGCACATAATGGGTAACGTACAGCCTTTCACTACATCATAATGTTTCAGTGGGGCACATACGGGACCGTGGTCCCTTGGTGCTATAACAGAGCTGAAGAATTCCTTTCGCCAGCGCCATCGAGGCACAGCGCATTTCCTGAGCATGTGATAACTGACACAAACACCGTCTTCTCTGTTATCGCCCCATAAAGGCCTAGCATGTGTGGTTCTGCCCGCGTTGCAGTATTTGGTAATGGGGGGGGGCCCAGTGTGTGACTGGCTCTCTGCTCACTCTGCTTCTCACCACTTAAAGTGTATTCATTCTTATGAAATACTTACTGTGAACCCGTGTGCCGTGTTACCTTGCCCGCCTTGGGCATCTCATGTGTGCTCTGTCCCTCGGACAGAGGGACAGGAGGCCACGGTTGAGTGACTAATTGTGGCCATCTGGGTTTCTGTAAGTGCACCCCGTGACACGGGACATTTGCTTAATGACCAAAGGACCCAGCGATGCGATTTTCAGAATGAGTCCCTGTCATTAAGCAGTTGTGACCGGAACAGACATGAGCGCCAGCCAGTGAACATTGACACCACACTGGTAACTGCTGCCCTGCTGATAGCTTCTTTCTGGCGCGGCGCCCAGTTCTGGATCCTCCATTGCATCAGGCTGTCTGGTCTCCTTTGGGTCCTCTCCCTGGGACACAGCCTCCATCCTTCTCTGTCTCTCGTGACCTGGACATATGTGAAGAGTGGCTGAGAATCCTTCGCAGAACGCCCTTCTACTTGGATTGGTCTGACACCTTCTCCTGACTGCGTTCGGGTTGTCTGCTTTTGGTGGCTGAAGAAGCAGCACCTTGCGTTCACGACACACGCTGTCGGGAAGACCGATATCACGTGTCTTGGCCGGTGATACCAGCCTTGGTTATGTGGCGAAGATGGCATCTGCTGGCTCTTTTCACAGTAAAGCTGTTACTTTCTAGCTCTGTATTCAGTAGATGTGCAGGGAGATACTGAGACAGCAAATGTTCTCTTTCGTCATGCTTTGGGCTTCCTTCCTACCTACCTTCCTTCCTTTTTTTGCTTCCTTCCTATAATTTATTTTTATTTTATGTACATTGGTGTTTTGCCTGTGTGTCTGTCTGTGTGAGGGTGTCAGATCCCCTGGAACAGACGGTTGTGAGCTGCCATGTAAATGCTGGGAATTGAACCCAGGTCCTTTGGAAGAGCAGCCAGTGCTCTTAACCTCTGAGTCATCTCTCCAGCACCTGGTCATTCCTTTCTCACTCATGGGGTTTTACTGTAGGAAAGGGCTGTCTTACTCCTTCACTTGTTTAACCTGTTTTAGTTTTTATTTTGCTGTATTATCTTTATGTGTATGAGTGTTTTGCCTACATGTATGTATGTGTACCACATGTGTGCCTGGTGCCTATGGAGGTCAGAAGACAGCATTGGATCCCCTGGAACTGGGGATATAGGGGGTTGTGAGCACCATGTTGGTCCTGGGAATAGAACTCATGTCCTCGGCAAGAGCAGCCAGTGTTCTTAACTGCGGAACCATCTCTCCAGCCCCTTAGTATTTAAAAAAATATAACATTCACATACACATTTGTGTGTGTGTATGTATACCACTGTGAACATGTAGACATCAGAGAACAACTTGCTGGGTTTGTCCTTCTTTTTCCAGGCTAGTGCCAGGGAATCTGCTGAGCCGCCTTGCCAGCCCCAAATCATTTTTTATGTTAGTATAGACGCGTGGAGATTGAGTCTGTGAGTCCTGTTCAGTTGTATCATTTACACCGTGGCTCTCACTGTCCCAGTTGTGACCGTTTGGGGCTCCTTCAGGTTGACATGTGTGGGTTTTGGGGGGAGCTCCCCTCCCTTTCTTTGAGCTCATCTGTGTTTCTGGTTTTGGAAGTCGTGTGGCGTTCATCTTAGGTTCTTTCTTCCCTAGTCCAGGGAGCCATCTCTTTTGCAAGCATGGGATGTAGTTTTGCTTGATAGATTTGATCTTTAACATTTCTTTAAATGTGTGGCATGTGCACTCATGCCACAGTGCGCTTGTGGGGTCACGGAATGGTCTTCACATTTTACCTTCTTGGGAAGGATTTTTTTCTTACTGATTTTTATTTTATGCGCATTGGCGTTTTGCCCGCAAATATGTCTGTGTGAGGGTGTTGGATCCCCAGGAACTGCAGTTACAGGCAGGTATGGGCTGACGTGTGGTGCTGGGAATTGAACCCAGGTCCTCTGGAAGAGTAGCTGGTGCTCTAAACCACTGAACCATTTCTCCAGCCCCAAGGCAGGATTTCTCTCGTTCACTGCTATATATGCCAGGTGAGCTGGCTTTTGAGCTTCAGCAAGCCTTCTGTCTCTCTGTCCCATTTCTCTATAGAGAGAGGTTTCCTGGAATTATAGAGGCTTCTGCCATGCATAAAGTCCTTACCGGATTCTAGAGATTTGAACCCAGGTCTGGCAAGCACTTTACCCACTGAGCCATCTACCTAGCCCCATAGATGCTCTCTTATTCTCTGGGATCTGCTTTGGGCAAACGTTAGTCTGTATAGATGTTGGCAGGTGACGTGACTCATCCACCCTGAGGGACACTAGGTCTTGAGAAACAGCTGACAGATACTGGACTAACTGCTCTTAGATGCACTTTGAGTATCACTGGGCTGAAGGATTCGGATTCCTCATCAGAACCCAGGATTCTCAGTTGTGAACTCAGTGGGATCTCATGACTATGGTGGTGAAAGCTCTCCTGTGTGTTCATTAAGCAGGGAAAAAATGTTTTATTTTATTTTATTTTTTGTGTGTATATCCTTGTGTTATAGGTGACAAAAAATGAGGGTTGGGCCATATATTATTATTATTTGCCCTATATATTTAACCCACTATCACAAATAATAAGACACAGATACCTGTTAGATTTTGTAATTGCCTTATTACCTTGGGCCAGGAAGATATTTCCACCTACTTGGTCTCAACAACCTCAAGATCCATCTCCCAGCCCCCATCCAATGCCATCTGCCTTAACCAGCTGTATCTGGGCTACCTTTCATCCATAGTCTTATGAATGAATAGTTGCTTTTATTCTTCATCTGGGCCTTTCCATGCCTTTATTAGAGTCTTTCCTCCTGGCTCACGACATGGTTCTTTCTCCACACTAACCCATCATGGGGTCCTTCTTCCTTCTCTCTTCCCGTGATTCTCTTGAACTCAAAAGCCCAGGAACCTTAGCCATACCTACCCCATTCTGCCCTGCTCAGTGATAGACCTTTAATCAACCAATCAGGTAAAATGTCTTAGGCAGGTTTACAAAACAGGGATAGATGTCACCGGATCTTGAGGGCCGATAATTAGCATAAAAATAAAACATCAGAACAACTCCCAACATCCTTGAGTGAATGTATATGCACCACATGGGGGGACCAGGTACCTGCAGGGACCAGAACAGGTGTCAGGTTCCCAGGAACTGGAGTTACAGGGCAGTTGGGAGCTGCCAGTGTGGGTTCTAGAAACTGACGCTCAGTCATCTGCACAAGCGCTTTTCACTTCAGAGTCTCCTCTCCAGCCCAGGGCTCTGCTCTTCCTTTTTTTCACTGCCTACTGGCTGAGCCACAAAGATGGCCATCTCCCTCACACTGCTGTGTGGGTAGCTCTGAGATATGTGCCTCTTTTCTGTAGGCTTGGAGAACAGCAAAGATGCCCCGTAGATGCCTGTGTAGGGTGATGGGTTAGGCGTAGGGAGAGGATGGAAAAGGAACGTGGTTGCCGCTCATTTCCTGGTCTCTTCCCGCTGTGTGCACGGTGTTGGCTTTTTGCAGACTGGATCTGAGCTCAGGAGAAGCTGGGTCCTGCTTGTGGCTCAGCAGCTGTTGAGGGGCAGCTGGCCACGGCCTCACTTCTGTTCCCTGCCCCCTACACAAACTGGGATCAGACAAAGTGTTTACAGTTCTTAGCGTGACTGTGTCAAGGTGAGTTAGCTTGGCGTTAATACTGTTTCTTCTTCTTTTAGGAAAAAAAATGCTAAAATCAAGACAGGGTACAAGAGGGAGCATATCAACCTAGGCTGTGACGTGGACTTTGACATCGCTGGGCCCTCGATCCGGGGCGCTCTGGTGCTTGGTTACGAGGGCTGGCTGGCTGGCTACCAGATGAATTTTGAGACGGCGAAGTCCCGAGTGACCCAGAGCAACTTTGCAGTTGGCTATAAGACGGATGAATTCCAGCTTCATACTAACGTGTAAGTGTGTGTGTGTGTGTGTGTGTGTGGGGGGGGGTTGTCTTAGTTACTTTCCCAGTGCTGTTTCAAAACACCGTGACCGAGACAACTTATGAAAGAAAGCATTTAATTGGGCTGTTTTAGTGTTAAGAGTCCATGATGGCATAGCAAAGGCACAGCAGCAGGAACAGCCAAGAATTCACATCCTGATCCGAACCGTGAGGCAGAGAGGAGAGTTGACAGATCTTCTCCAACAAGGCCACACCTCTTAATCTTTCCCAAACAGTTTGACCAGCTGAGGACCAAGTATTCAAATGGAGCCCAGTCTCATCCATAACACCACAGGCTGTGTTTGTGTGTGTGTGTGTGTGGCTAGGGTGGTTGCTTTTCTTTTCTTTTTTTTTTTTCCTAAGTTCAGTTTTCAGTTATTTGGGTCAAGGAGCCACACGGCCTGTCAGCTTTTTTGTTTCCCATTACACGGAGGATAACCCAGGAGCGCACAGTATTCTCTCTGCTAATGCGTCTCACAGCTTACTGACCGCTGGACAGTCGGGCGGTGGGCAGGGAGGTTGCGGTGTTAGGTCGGAGATCATCTGTGCCGGGACATGGAGGCTGAAGGATACTGATTTGAGGGAAACAAAAACTTCAATCATAAAAATCTTACCTGGGGCCAGAGGGAAGCTTGCCAGAGACATTCCACAGCTCTCGGAAGAGGACCTCAGTTTGGTTCCCAGCAACCTGGTCACGCGCAGCTTACAACTGCCTGAAACTCCAGCCCCACAGGATCCAGCGCTCTCTTCTGGGCTCTGAAGGGACACACTCCCCCCTCCACAGACACACACATAAAACCCTTTTTTTTTTTTTTTTTTTTTGGAAAGGTAATTTTGTTTGGGTTAGTTTCATGAAGCACTAATCAGTTCTTTACACTAGAGGGCGGTAAATAATAACTTCTTAGACTCAGACCAACAATGGTCTGAACAAATTGTGTTTCTATTAATAACAATTAAGAACGTGTATTCATTGATGTGTGTGTGTGTGTGTGTGTATCTGTGAACTTTGCCTCAGTTTACATGTGGGGGTTAGAGAACAACTTGCAAGGAGTCTGTTTTCTTCTTTCATATCAAATCCACAGCACTTACCTTCCGACGTGGGGACAGAGCTTTCCTAACCACCTGGCCGAGTCTCCTCTCCTTCGCTTCCCTCCTGCTCTCTCTGTTAGACTCACAAAAAGTGAAGACACAAAGAGGAGAAAGTGGAAAGCTCTGTGAAATTCTAATTTTCTAGTTTTTGCATCTATTTTGAAAAAGAAAAGAAAAGCATTTGTTTTTATTCATGTATGTGTATATATGTGTGTGTGTGTGTGTGTGCGCATGTCGCATGTGTGCTGGTGCCCCTGGTGTTCAGAAGAAGAAGTTGGATCCTCTGGAGCTGGAGTTATGGGCAGTTGCGAGCTGCCTGGTGTGAGCACTGGGATTTGAACTTGGCTCCTTTGGAAGAGCAGCCCATACTCTTAACCACTGAGCCACCTCTCTAGCCCCACCTGCCTTCATTTTTAAAGAGCATTTGGAAGCAGACTTGAGGTTCTGTGCTGCTCTGGTAGTCACCGGGGATGACTTAGAGTTCCCGGTGATAGGTGGGCTGTTTTATCTTCTGGAATTTTCGGACTGGTGTCTGTCTCACTCTTGTTGGGCTCCCTCGATTTCAGTATTTGTTTTGTGAGCCTTGGTCTTGATACCCTGGCTTGGTTCAGTCCATTTCTGGCATCCCTGCACTCTTGTTAGAACTGGTGAGGACTGCCTGCGTTTCAGCCCACCTCCCTGGACAGCTGAGCACCTGTTGCTATGCTTGCTTGCAGGAATGACGGGACAGAATTTGGGGGCTCCATTTACCAGAAGGTGAACAAGAAGTTGGAGACTGCTGTCAACCTCGCCTGGACAGCAGGAAATAGTAACACTCGCTTTGGAATAGCAGCCAAGTATCAGGTCGACCCTGATGCCAGCTTTTCGGTGCGTACCCGAGAATCACTGTCTCACAATTGCAGGAATTCTGTGCTTCTGCTTAGATGTTCTATCACTGGACAAAGGCGATGCTTGTGCTTAATTCTGCTTGAGATGGATACTTAAATTTTCTTTGTTTCGTTTCTTCCTTCCCTCTCTCTGTCTTCTTTCTTTCCTTTCTTTTGTTCCTTCCCGCCTTCCTTCCTTCCTTCCTTTCTTTCTCTCTCTTTTCTGACAGTCTCACCGTGTGGCCCTGGCTGGCCAGGAACTCACTCTGTAGATCTCACAAAGATCCACCTGCCTCTTTACACCCCCATCGGGTTTTCTCTTTGTTCCTTGGCTATCCTGGAACTTGCTCTGTAGACCAGGCTGGCCTTTGAAATCAGCTACCCACCTGCCTCTGTCTCTTGAGTGCTGGGCTTAAAGGAGTGCATCACCATGGCCTAGCACCTCCATGGTTTTTATATCGATGTTTTTGCACTGGAGCTGCCGAACGCTTCTGGAGGTTGACTGGGTGACGTCCTTAAAGGCACACAGTGCTGGGACCTGGTTTTGAGGAGATTGCTATGCTACTGAGCCACTCTAGCACATCCTTGTCCCATCATGCGAACTGTAATCTTTTTTTTTTTTTTTTTTTTGTTATTCGGGACAGAGTTTCTCTGTGTAGCCATGGCTGTCCTGGACTCTATTAGTAGACCAGGCCAGCGTCGAACTCACAGAGTATCTGCCTGCCTCTGATTTCCCTGAATGCTGGGATTACAGGTGTGTGCCACTGTACCCGGCACCCTTAAATGTTTTATTTTGTTTTCAGTACCTACAGTCTACATTAAGGTACCAATGGTCAGGATGATGTAGTTCAGTGAGTACAGACTTGTCCACCATGTGCAAGGGCCTAGGCTTCAGCCACATTACTAGGGAGAAAAAAACCCAAGCAAACCAAACCAAGCCTGGGGATTTAGCTCAACTGGTGGAGTGCTTAGCAGCTTAGCATCAAGAAAGCCTCTGCACTGCAGAGACAGCACAAGGATCAGAAGTTCAAGGCCGTTAGTGGCTCCAGTGTAGGAAGAGTTTAAGAAGGCAGCCTTGGGCTGTGTAGTGGGATATCATCTTTAGAGAGACAAAAGTAGGTACTTGGTCAGCCGGCATCGAGTCTTGCTTACCCCATGGCATCGGTCAGGGGCCCCAAACTGCACCAGTTTTGTGGTGAACACAGTTGAGCTGGCTTCTGCTGTCACATTGTGGATGGCCAGCTTTTTGGTGTGGAATGAGGAAGTGTCGTGTTGCAGAATCTTTCTGTTGGCTGGTGTAACTCAGTCTGTTTCAAGTCTCCTGACCTGGGAACTGGACTTGGCTCCCTCAACATTAGGCATGCGTGTAAACCAAAGGACAAGGGGCCTCCTTGTTGGGATGTTGGGAGCATCAAGGAACAGTTAGAAGGGACACGGCCTGCCAAGAGCCCTCATTGATGAATCTCATGCTGAGTTTTATAAGATGGCTACGCACAGGCACAACATGATCCCGACACCTGGGATTTGAGCAAGACGCTGTCACTCGTTTTGGAGGCTGTTGTAGATGGCCATTGATATTTACCATTAATATATCTTTTAGTAAGGCTGCTGTTAATCCTAAACACTGTATAACCAAATCACCACACAGAGACTATGATTTATTTAATTAACTTAGAACACAATGCTGGACAATAGTTACTCTTAAACCTCCAAGCCCTTATAGTTTCCTAACATTTATATTCACTCATTATACTTGCTTTTTGTGAAATGTTAGGTCCGGTTCATTCTCTATGTCGATCCAAGACCTCTCCTCCAGCTCTGCTTTCCGAGCTCTCTCCTGCCCTTCTTTCCTCTCCTGCCCTACCCACCTTCCTTTCCTCTGGCTCCTCCCTCTCTTCCTGCTTCCTTTCCATTGCTCAACCTAGTGGCTGATTGTTTTATTTTGGCATGTTTACACAAAGTTGAGACAGGTGATGCTTAGGATAAGTATCACAATGAAATGTCTGGATTGAAACCGGAGAGTGGGAGAGTGAAATCACCATTTGAATGAATAAGGGCAGGGCAAGGTGTATACATTCCAAAAGAACATTATACCAACAGGAGGCAGACAGGTGGGATACTGTTTTCAAGAAGGAGGGACACCACTTTCACCTGCATTTATCTTTTTTCCTTTCAGGCCAAAGTGAACAACTCTAGCTTGATTGGTTTGGGGTACACTCAGACCCTGAAGCCAGGTAGGTGTTGGCTGTGTGCAAAGCTCGTTCTCTGTCACGTTTTGCTGCTTGCTCTGTTATTTCTGCTATTGCTATTGTAAATGAGCATATGTAAACTTTTTTCAGTGTAAACTTTTATAGTTTAGATGTTTATAAAGGAGCTGTGAGCTCGCTATAGAAAGAAAAAGAGAGAAAAGCCAGAAGGAAAATGCCTGGGCTAACTCGGGTTACATCTTTGGTTTTTTCCTTCCATCCTTTCCCTGGCATGTGATACTTGATAGTTATTTCCAGGCTGTTGTCAGTCATCTTCTCTATAGAAAAGAGAAAGGTGTAGGAATGGTGGGTCTGCTCTGCATAGTTGTCCCAGCCGCTCACTGGTGTGTGAGGGCTCCGGGGGCTAAAACTTCTTTTGAGCCCTCGAGGCTGATTATGGTGATATGAGAATCAAGTTCCTCCCTGGAAAATAATCAGCCCATTTGGTCTAAAATTACAAGTCCCAGGAACAACCGTTTATTGTGTGTCTGGGTGTGTACATGTTATGAAGATGAATGTAACTCTCAGGCTGTCACAGGACAGGGTTTACTTCCGAGGCAACACTGCTCAAGCAGTTTACTGAGTAGTACCCAGATCGACACGCTCCTTGTGATGGGGGGAGGCATGAGAGGGAAAGGGAATTGGATTCCGGAAGTAGATTCCAGCAGGGTCTCTGCCCTGCACCAGTGATGGCTGTTGCCTGTGTTCATTTGAGGGTAGCAGCAGGTCAGGCTGCAGAGCAGGACGCAGCCTGGAGTCAGATCACCTCGTCGTCTCGGGCACTTGGAACAGTCTGACTTTGGTATTAACCCCTTCTCTTCCCTTTGTCTCTTTCCCCTTTCTTCCTCTTCCTACCTCCGACCTGTCACCCCTCCCTCCCCACAGGTATCAAACTGACGCTGTCAGCCCTGCTGGATGGCAAGAACGTCAATGCAGGTGGCCACAAGCTCGGTCTAGGACTGGAATTTCAAGCATAAGTGAATATTGTACAATCATTAAATTTTAAACTATTTTGCAGCATAGCTACCTTCAGAATTTAGTGTACCTTTCAATGTTGTATGTTGGGGATTCAAGAATTGATGAATACCACGTTAGACCTCCAGGCTAAGGATGACTCGGCTTTAAGGTGTTTACCATTTCAGAGTACAGCAGAAACTCCATTCCAGATGGGGTCCTTTCAGCTGTGGGCGTGGCTTGGGGAGGAGCCAGGCAGCAAGAGCAGGCTGGGAATGTGCGGGCCCTTTTGTAAGTCTGTCCCCAGATGACATTGTGACTTCCCGAGCACCGAACCCTGGTGTCCCGATCCTCACTGCTGGGAAGCATGTGCACACCTATGTGACACAGACGTTTTAGACAGAGCGTCACGCCCTGTTCCCATCCTAGCCCATCAGTTACCTGTTTTACACCAAAAGTAGTCTTCAGGGTGTGGTTAGCTATTTCTTTTGTGCCATTTTAGGGTGGAGAGGGTGGGCATGATGGAGCCAGTCATTCAGGACTTAATCCTTCCTTGTGTTGTGGTGTGGTTTTCTTTTCTTTTTTTCTTTCTTCTTCTTCTTTTTGTTTTTTAAATTCCTTTTATTTTTTGCCACTGCACCAGAGTATGAAATAACTTCCGGTTTTTCCAGCTCTGTGCTGGGTAGGTGATTGTGGTCACACCCTGACAACACTAGGGATGTAGACTGACTTCTGTTATAGCCTCACCACTCTATTTTTTAGTAGTTTAATGGGTACATTATAGAGTCTTCCATTTTGTGTGGAATTAGCTCCTCCCCTTCAAATGCTGTAATTAACATCACTTAAAAAAATAAAACTTGAATAAAATATTGAAACCTCATCCTCCTGTTGCTTTTGCTAAGAAAACTATGAATGGCCAGGGCATCGGTTTAGATCTGTACTTTGTTCCTTTGCAGTAAGCACCAATATTAACTTCTGTTCTTCTGTCCACTCCCCTGATGGCAGAAAAGAACACTCAGAAGGCTGCAGAGATGACTCGGGGGTTACGAATGCTTCCCGATCCTGTAGTGGGCCCCCAGGCTGCTCACAACCTGTTGTAACTCTGGGTTTGGGGTATCTGGCTCCCTCCTCTGTCTCCTTAGTCATCCACACACATGTGATACACACACACACACACACACACACACACACACACACACACACACACA